TGACCCCTCACCCGAGCGAAGCGCATCCAAACGGCCACCCGGGCGCGTGTTAATAGATGACTGTAACTGTGACTAGAGATTGTGAGGAGCTATCTGTGGTCAGGCATCTATAAAAAATACGAAAAAGAAAAGTCTGGCAGTGGGAACCAGGTACGTGCCAAGCGACCAGAATTTGCACTGGGGGAGGATGCTAAATTATCTCCGAAAACCTGTGAGCTTAGACCAGCAGCGATATCATCGGGCAATTAATGGCTCCCTTGACTGAGGAAGATGGTCCTGTGCCCCCCCCCCCCCCCCCCCTCTTACCCCCTGACCACGTCCGTAACTGGAGGTTGATCGGTACAGGTGAGTTTAATGATTAGGGTAACGATGCCACCAAGAAGTGATCTTCATGCTCGTGACGACTCTGCTGGCTTCCATTCTGATAGGCCCATTTTCAGGAAATGCTACCACAAATGGGGTCCAATAGATCGCACACAATGAAAAAATATCGTCTGGCCGGTCTATTTAAAAGAACAATACTTAAATGTTGACAAGCCCACGAGAATATGTTGATGCACTCAAAAAAGCAGCAGGCATATCTATTTCGTCTGATATCTAATCCTTTTCATGCTGACGGGCTGACAAAAAAATCCTGGGAGCAGTGTCAGCCGGTGCATGACGTCACAAACTGGGTCGTGATTGGGGCTGGCGAACGTGCTGACGACAGATCAAACGATGCAGCAGTCCGAGCCACGATTGCCAAAGGGGCGTCATTCAACGCGGCATGGTCGATTTACCGGAGCCAAATGCGCATGGAATCTGTGGCTCATCAACGTCGTGACCCACGAATGAACGAGGTTTAAGGTGGTTTATGTTTGGTTGCCGACACATCAAATATCATCTATCTCTTTACTCGGATCACATCAGCAATTACAGCGATCGACGTGCCGTTGTCGATTTTCTCGCGGTGAAAAAAGTGTGGAGCATGTGAGTCATGAACGGCCTCGTTCGACCTATCGTCAGCACGTTTGTCAGACCTGATCACGGCCCAGTATTCTCCTTACGTCATGTCATGTGAACACAAAGTCACATGGTTTTTGACGTCATGCGCCGGCTGACGCTGCTACAAGGATTTTTTGTCAGCCCGCCAGCATGGGGAGAAGATTAGATATCAGATGAAATAAATCGCTCTCACAAAGAAGCGCGAGTTTAAGATGGTCCATAGGGTGATGGCTCTCACGTTTGCGAGTACATCGGGTAAAGAACACTTGCCCCTAGTTTTGGGTGAATGCGACAGGATAGATAAGAACGGACTTGGGCTGCCTAATACCAGGGTAGTCATGGAAAGGTGAGTGACAGTGAGTGGTGTGATGAGTGATGGTGTTGCCCAATAAATTAATAACCTTGGAGGAATCATGAGGCGTGGGAAACAAGAACAAAGCGCCTTGTCCCGAAGATGGACATCGCCAGCGCAAGTGGGAGGTGCATAAAAATTGCGTTCGTGTCAGTGCGTGTGTGAAAAACTTTTTCCACAGAAAGGAGTCAACAATTACAATGAGAAAGGAAAAGGTTGCAATGAGATGGGAATGAAATGAAGCACTCAACTTACGGACACCACAGATAGCAATACCAAGCAGGTGCCACATTCCTTAAACCACGTTATAGGTAGTGTGCCAGGCTGTAGTAACGCTAAACGGTAAAGGAAGAAAAGGAATGTGAAGTTAAAAACTTTCCCTTTAACCCACACATAGAACCCCACGTCAGCACGGATGACGCTACGCATTTCAGCTAGCAGTTGTGCTGAAGACAGGTCGAACAGGCCCACGGTTGTTTAGTGCGTCAAAGCCAGCAATGCACAAATTTAAACTTTGTTGACCCATGGGTCATAGCCAGTGGCGCAGGCGGGAGGCACAGCGAGTACTCAGCCCCCCCCCCCTCCCTTGGTTCCGAGGGGCCCGTCGGACCCCTCAGGACCTACGATGGAGGGCCCGATTTAGGGGCCTGAAAGGCCAGCCGGAGCTTGTATTTACGGACAACGGCCCGCAGGGTCGGACACTCTAATGCCAGCCAGAGGCCCCTGTGTGCTGATCAGGGGCCCTTGGGTTGACAAGGACAGTTGCCGGTCAGACACTACCAGTAACGCACACTCGGCTCCGCGTCGGTATGGGCGTGGCCTTCCCCAAGCAGGGACAAGCCCTGAACCAGCGACTTATATTGGTCGGGGCACCAGCGTATCGCAGGGTCCCACGGCGCCTAACAGAGGAACCTGTGTTGGCAAGGAGCCCCGAGTCGGCCAGAGGTAGTGCTGGAGGAGGCCCGAAGATCCTGGAGGACCCGCCGGGACCGATTATCAATGGCCGTGTTGGAGGGCCGGGGGCCCCACGAAGGACTGGCCAGAGTTTTATTCAGGCTGCCGACCTGCGAGGGCGCGCGCTCAACTGACAGTCATAAGTGGCAAAGCTGTGTAAATTTGAGCCGCAAACATTGCCTTGGCTTGCTGGTGCATAGTCACTTAAGTAGTGTTCCACATTGATTTGAGGTTTTGAATTCAAATGTCATTTGGTGCAATTCACAGTTGTGTCTTTCTTAAGACCTAAACTTCTCTACTTTCTGAGCGTCACGCCTGCTTTTTTTTTAAGGAGACTATTTCAAGGTCATCCAGGCAACCGCAGCGCCAAAATAACGTCATTCAAATTCTGCCACCCTATAAGCAATGCATCCACCAAGGCCAAGAAAAAAGTGATTGTCGATTCGTTCATATCTGGCGTTTGTGAGCACGATTTACGGACATAATGGCCGTCAGTTGGCTCTCAATCAATGTTGTGCGTGGTACGATGACATAATGAGGCAACAACGTATTGAGGAGCATATTTACGTAACAGAAAACATATGCTCTCTAAAGAGAGCAGTATTTTCTATTTAAAAGTATACCAATAGTTATAAATGAGCCAATTTCATCATATCTGGTGCTCGCGTCAAATCTTCAACCGTGGAACATTCCTTTTAAGGGGGTAATTCATGGCCACTCAACGTATATATGTGGTAATGAGCTCAATTGTTCCACTGTTTATTACCAGCAGCGATCTTGATAAGCTACCCACGAACAGATCGTTGAATGCAGAGAAATTAGGTTTTGCTCCTTGCTTTGCAGGCTGTTGTCATCTGTTTGAGAACAGGGCACCCACACCACCTTGTCCGCACCCATACGGACTTGTTCTGAACTTTTGAGAACAAATGCCCCAGCGTCTCAAAGCCCTGAAAATAAGCCCCAAAATTATGACCTCGAGCTTGACGGTTGTACGGCGTTCGTTACAATCCATTCCTTTCTTCTCAGGTGAGTGGAACAATAGCCCGAGCGCCAGCCAGTTCGTCGCTAAATTCTGGTACTTGCACGGGACGCAGCAGGAAGATTACAAGGCTGGACCCGTACCCATCCCAGCTGGAGGTCTCAGTCTCAGCCAGCGGGGCGCCGATGGCACATGTGACACCGACAGTGCCGAGGCACTCGATAGACTGGACGATTATAACCACCGGCCGGAGCTGTCCTTCGTGGTCGCCAGTGCCGTTTGCTACATTGCCGTATTCGTTGTGCGAAGGGCACTGGGCAGAGAAGGCTTCGCCCCCTGCCAAGGAGCACTGGTGAGCCGTCAGGAGTCCGCGACCTCACAGTCTTATGCCACTGTCTGCGGCTGAAAAACCGCGGCGCGCTGCTGAATCTCTCCACAGGAGCAGTCAAGAGATGGTCCTCAGTGCTGAGAAGGAGCTCCGCCGCTACGTTGTGAAGCTGGACGCGGCTTACCGTGCGGTGCGGAAGGATGACGGTGCGGGAGGGTGCGGGGGTGTGCCGCATCGGCACCGATGGCATGTGAGATCACGGACGCCACCCCTGGAAACTCCGTACGGTTTGGAAAACCACCTCACCGAGCTGATTAGAATGCTGGTGGTCTCCTCCCGACGGGCGCGTCTTCATCACTAGGCAAAGCTGCACAACACACGCCTGCAGAGAAACAGGATAAGAAACAAAAGCGGTGCTATTAAGCGGATATAAGGCCCCTGAAGGCGCCGGCGTTCTGCCTTCATTTGACCGGTGACGTAACCAGTCGATAGCCTTTCCAACAATTTTCATACCTCTCCGATCGTTGGGTTTGTCCAGGCTATTCCCTGCTCCCTGTTAAGGCTTCTGTTGTACGTGATCTGGGATTTCGTGGGAAGAAATGACTGTTTTGATGAGCGATGTCAAAGTATGTAAATTTGTGTGCGATGTTTCATCGATGTTACGTACCATTTAGCTTTTTAATTGTTCCTAATTTAGTAAAAGTTTTACGGTCAGTTCGCAAAGAAAGTGCGCGCGAACTCCACGACATTTTTCGTGGAGGACGTTTGTGGCGCCCTGCGACGGCCCGGTCGGCGGCTCACGCGCACCTAGAAGCTAGTCAGGTGTCGTGATGGGCTCGCGAAAACTACCTGCTGAAGGGCAATAGATCCAGTGCAGCTTCATTATCAGGTGATCGTTGAATGTGTTGAATCAAGGAGTGTTGCAGCATTCTGAAATAGACAAACCAATGACCTCATGGTACTGCCAGGTGATTCATATGCGCGTTGAACAACAAGGCATCATGACATTGTCCGATAATTTAAATACGAATTTGTGTTATCAAATATGTTATTACTGCTATTGCCGTGATATTTATTGCTGTTTAGGTAACTAGTTGGTCTCGCGTGCTCATAAGTATGTGTTAATTTATTTGGAGCTAGCTAACCAGCCCCTGATCTGGCCGGATGCCTGTTCGTGCGTCCAACATACCTGAGCGTGGCAAGTACTCGTTCTCCTCATCTCTCTGTGAAGGCCGTGGAACTGACGAAGCCAGTGGAAAGGCAACGGAAGGTGACATTTCACGCCAAACACGATGCAGATTCGGCAGCGACTCGTACGTCCGCGCCACATACGTGGCTGCGGACCCGTGGACACCGGCAGCACCACTGCGGCACCAGGTGTGCCGACGTCCGCCCCGCGGCAGTATCAGACTTCGCGACCCTGGACGCCCACCGCGGAATCCGACGCAACGGCGCCTAAACCCTGCGGCACTCGTCCCACGAGTGCCGGGAGGCGCGGCGGTCCCGCCAATGCTTGACGGGCTGCGGCGGAACCGTCCGGCCCAGCGGCGGCGCCGCGGCGGGCATCAGAGATGGGCCCATGCTCCACAGGCTTCCCGAGCCGGTGGCGTCCGCACACATCGGATGCGACTGCGGCCGATCCCCGGGGGCCTATACAGCGCCAATGAGAGAGAAAGATGGCGGCCCCAACAGCGCTCGGTGTGAGCGCGGCGGAGGCACCAGACAGAGGCCCTGCATCAGGGTCAACTTTCCGCGCAGGCAGCAGTCGTGGAGGTCGGCGGCAAGGATTTCCCCATGCGGGTAACCCGTTGAACAGTGAAATATAGCGAGATGCCGGTTAAACGACGCCGTGATGCTGAATGACGATGGAATTGCGGTGCTTAATGTTTCGAGCTATTCTTATACTCCAGAGTGGTGATGCAGGGTGTCTGTCTTGTCAAAAGTCGGTGCCATCAGACTTGTGTTTGTCTCAAATCTTTTAGCCGGCTGATGACCGACTCACTTATTTTGAAATCCAATTCAGCTCATGACTCGCAGCTGTTCCAAGTGTTTTGATTGATCTCAACTCGGACCCATTGTCTGCATTTAATCGCTGGGCTCATGAGTCATGCAGCTTGCAAAATCAAAGATCAGATTCAGTTCTGGCCCATCGCATTATGACTCGTAAGCCATATGACTCATTCATATATGTATGTCGTGTATTATATCATACACTTATCATACATGTATATCGTGTATATCTGCGTGTGCATGTCTGTATAGATGGCATATAACTAGCCCTTAATTTCATGGGTAGCAGCCATTCTTTCACCGGTTTTAGCGTAATATCTAGGAATGTAGGATGTCTGTATCATGAAATATCCTTGAATTCATACAGACATATAGAAATGGAAACATAAAGATCAACATAGATCAGGAGCAACAGTATTGTGTTTGCTGTTTAGAAATTATGATAGTGAACTTCGTGCTAATTTTGCAAAAAGCTTAACTAATGCTGCATTCTGTTCATTTTAACACTCTGGAATAGTCTGTTAATTTGTCATGGACGTGCTATGCTTCCACAATTTGTCATGGGCGTGCTACGCTTCCACAATTTGTCATGGGCGTGCTACGCTTCCACAATTTGTCATGGGCGTGCTACACTTCCACAATTTGTCATGGGCGTGCTATGCTTCCACAATTTGTCATGGGCGTGCTACGCTTCCACAATTTGTCATGGGCGTGCAACGCTTCCACAATTTGTCATGGGCGTGTTACGCTTCCACAGTTTGTCATGGACGTGCTATGCTTCCACATGTTGCCTTTTTCGCTTGAGCCGTGTGAATTACTGACAGAACATTGCTAGAAATGCCCGGCTCACGATTCAGTTCATGGAATTTACGGAGGATGTGATTCAGCTCATAGCGGCATTTTTCCAATAAGCCCACTGAGCTCACGACTAGCCCAAAACGATTGACTCACGAGTCGTTTGATAATTGAGCTCGAGTCTGGGTACACAAGATAACACAAGTCTGGATACCATTGTGAATCATGGACCCAATTTGTGAACGAGGCACACGTCTAGGCTTAACGTGCCTGCAAGTGCATGACTGCAGCGAATGGTCTATAAATTCAATTGGGATTCAGCATTTAGCGCTTTAAGCTTGGCGAGTGCAAACCCGTACATTTGAGTTAAGATCTCCAACGAACCAATTGTAATCATTTCTGAAAAAACAAAAACAACTTGAGCTGTGATCGTCCTGAATCTGGGTCCGAGCTGTCTGCGAATTTGTGTCGGAGTTGGCCCAGCCCCATGGCTGCGTCCGCATGCAGTGGTCACGTGCAGCGGCACGTGCCGCTTTGTCGCGCTCAACACTCCGTGCTGAATGACAGGCGTGCTGGCGTGTTATGACCAGACATGTGCCTGGTTCACAACATCGGTTCCCCGTTCCCAACGTTGCTCTTAGCGCTTGTCCCTTGCCGGTCTGACTGGTGGCCTGGTCATGCCTTTGATAGAAGTATATACGACGTACTGGAATGCCACGTTTGGTTGGATTCACTACACTTTTTTATGCATCACTACTGCGTTTGCTGCGTTTATGGATTTGACGTCCGTTGTCCGCGTCATGTTGTCAGGTTAGGAGGCATCCCACCAGGTCACGCGATCCATGGCTCACTTCCCAACCACCATGTCCAGCTTGGAGACATCCTCCCGTCTCCCATATCCCTTTCCCTATCCCCAAAACCGTCCGGTGTACCCTGGGTGGACGTCAGGAAAGTGGGACGGCGGCGGGCAGGAGCGCCGCGCTCCATCCGAACGGACGCCATCATGCCGGCCCACCAGCAGCAGCTGCGTGTTGACGCCGGCCGCCTCACGGGGACTCCCAGCGCCGAGCCGGCAGCTCGCCGCCTTTGACGGGGCTGGGGATATCAGGTGCTGGCGGGGAGCGGGCGGCGGCGGCCGGCGGGAGCCGGTCGGCGCCGGCGCCGCCGCCGCCCGCCCGCCCGGCGCGCCCGGTCGATGAGGCCGACCGAGCCGACGCGTCACCCCAGAGTCGGCTGGAAATCCATCGTCGGCGCCGTCGGCCGGTCGGTTCGGGCAGCGTTGTCGGCGCCCGCCGGCGGACGGGCGTGGCCGACGGCGGCAGACAGGCGACCGGCCAGTCGCCACTGCGGCCCGACGAGACCGACGGTCGCCATGACAACTCGCGCCGCATGATGAGATGCGCCAGGACTGCTTCCAAGCAGCGGGGTTCGCAGAGATGCGGACTTCAGGCCCCGCCCATTGTCTTTACATGGGATAGCCAAGCTGTGACTGGACGGTACGATGTGACCTTAAGCCGGGAAAGCACAATGGAACTGACCTTTCCGTGCCGTTTGTCGCCCTGGAGATCGAGTATTGTACACTACACAACAGACGGGGAGCATAAATAATTGTCGGTCGTCGCGACATTCAGGTGTAGAACGATGGAAAGACGTAACGAGGAAGGGAGGGAGAATGAGAGAGAGGGAGAGCGGGAGAGAGGGAGAGGGGGAAAGAGAGAGGGATTGAGTTTAATTCCAACAGTGAGTCGAGCTCTGACACTGGCCGGGAGCATGTACCGTCTCCTCCCCCCTCTCTCTCTCTCTAACTCTCTATCTCTCTCCCTCTCCCTTTCTCTCTCTCCCTCTCTCTCTCTCTCTCTCCCTCTCTCACTCTCTCTCTTTCTCTCTCCCTCTTTCTCTCCCTTTCTCTCTCTTTCCCTCTCTCTCTCTTTCTCTCCCTCTTTCTCTCTCTTTCCCTCTCTCTCTCCCTCTCTCTCTCTCTCTATCTCACTCTTTCTCGCTCCCTCTCCCTCTTCTTTTCTGCAGCTGAAGATGAGATACGCCGAAAATTGATGTTCCACGTTTTCTCTCTGCGCACCATTCGTCCGGCAAGACGACAAACCGCAACCGTGAAACGGCAACCGTGTGTGAGATCGAAACCGTTTCACCTTCAAATACATCTTGCGATCACTCAGTCCACCCCTTCCTTGCTTGTTGCGTGGCTAGTGGAAGCGCACCAAAGCCAGCGGCGCCAAATCTCACAACTCAGCTGCTGGACTTAACGCCAGTTTTCCTGTGGTTTCTGGTGTTTCTCCGTCCTTCCAGCTGATGTCAAGCATTACGTGGCCGAGCAAGAACGACGCAGGAGTGAGTGGAGAGGACGTGCATGTGGGTCGGATGAGGCTGCAGTTAAGGGTCTCTCGAATACAGAAGCACTTCCGCACGGCAGAGGGCCGTTTGCAGCCCTCCATCGTTCAAATGGCAGCTCGTAAGGTCTTCCTCGGAGTCCTCCGCCGCAACCGGCACTAAAGTGGGGCCCACGCGAGGCTTCCAACGATGCTGAAATAGCCGGTCCTCATGGTAATGATTTGTTGGTCCAATTCTTGCAGAAGACTCTGCAGCCCGCGACTTGCACCGACCAAGTTTGTGCCGTTGTCCGAGATGGCCTCAAACGGTGTACATATGCGAGCAGTAAACAGCGTGACTAAAAAATTAAATTTCCCCCGCAGAAAGCTATCGATAGCAAGGTCCATTGGGTCCGAGGTCACTGTCGTATAAAAGCAAAGAAGTGCCTTACATGAGACTTAATGACTGTAGTGACTGTAATGGCTGTAATGACTTAAGTGTGAAATGTTGCGGCCCGCGGCCTCTAAGTGCACGGGTTTACTTTGCAGGGAAAAGAGTAATACCGCTTGAACCTGTTTTTCCTTGCCCCGCCAGGACAAGCGAAGTCCATAGCACGCTTGATAAATGCACCGTATGTGGGCTTTGCCTCATTTTCCACCACCGTTTGCCGTCCTCATCATTCTTACGCGAGTAGTGTCAGTTCTCTTCAGGGGCGTTTGAAGGATTTGGTAATGGGGGTGCAACTAAAATATTAAGTTTTTCTCTAAAAAAATACATTGTAGCGCACCATAGGCTCACAAAATGTATTGCATGGCACAAAAACACATTGCACCCTTTCAGTCTAATTATTTGCATGTTTTTACCCCGCTCTTTAACTTTACAATAGGTACTTCAATTCGCGTTAATGTGCGTACAAATTTGATAACGGGCACGTGCTCGCAAAACCGCCCAATACCCTCGCTTGGGGCCCCTCGTTTTCGTGTATTGTGCAGACGCCCTGCTGAACCGTAATTCATGACGATTTTGATCTATATTCCTGCCGGGTTGTGCTGATATTGGCAAACTCTCAAGCACACATTCCTATGGAAGTATAAAAGCTTGCTCAACAGACAGCACGGATGGCCGATACGCGACAGATACACGACAGATACACAGATACACAGATACACGTGTGAGGACCAGTTGTGTGCGTGCATGGAGAGACAATGATCCCAAATGAGGCCAGATGAAACGCGCTGTTGAAGTCGTGCTGGTCATGGAGACCTTGCCTGTGCAGCTGAAGTTCGGCGATTGGCGCGTTGACGGAAACCGGAAAATAACAGGTTTTCG